ATTTGTGAAAAGCTAAGTTGGTCAAACTGCGATCATTATCTAAAATATAACCTCTCCTCAAGTGATTTAAGCAAAGTTACATTCTTATGATCAAATCTAAGTATAATTGTCTCTAAAGTTTCCACCAACAGACAGATTGCCCCTAGCAAACATTTTTTCACATCTTTCCCTTCAGCAATTCTTAAAATCTCTTAACAGGATTGGTATGACAACCACCTGTTAGCTCTAAAATCATTAAAGTATACAATCCCGTCCTTGAACAGTGATTAGAGTTGATTAGATGGGCTGTTGCCATGCTATCTGTGGGCTTTGGCCCCCTGACCAGAGACTGTTGCCTCATATGCATTTCCCTAAAAACCCTATTCTAAAAATCAAATGAGAATCAAGATTTCTAACCCTCTACAGAGCAGAGTAGTAAAAAACCAATAAACAACAGGGAACAATTGGGCAAGACATTTTCTGATAAAGGAAAATATAATTTTATACCAAATCAAATATGCAAAGTGGAAAATATCAAAATCAAGTCAGCTGCCATTTTCAGCAGCAGATATATGCTGGTCCTTAAAGCAGAGAATAGGGCATCGACCCACGATTTCAGTTTTCCAATTTAATTAATTGAGACAGAAAACAGAATCCTTATTATACATGGAATAAGAACAGCTCTTACTATATCTGCTAAAGAGCTTGGCTCCCTGAGTGATGGGAGAGGCTGGGAGATTGTAATTAGTGGAAGTAACAAGGACAGACGTGCATACTAATGGTTGTCTGGAATGTGACCTGTGGGGCCTGAGCACAAGGGCTCTGTGGCTCAGTGCTCACCTTGGTATTAGACTTCCTGATTTGCTCTTGCCCCATCTTTCCAGATCCACCCCTGGCCAGAACCCTGGGTGAGAACCAGGTTGGCCTGGATTCCTGGGCCCAACCCTGGCTAGGAGGTCGAGCAATTTCATGCTCCTAGACATCTGCCTGTGCAAGGCTCTCTACTCAGCCCTGTAAGGAACACATTAAACAAGATTTCTTGACTGGTGTTCTCATCTAAAAATGTGCCATCCTCATGTAGTGCAAGATGGTGGGGGAGCAGTGGGAATCAGTGGGAAGGACCTCGATTTGTTCCTGGATCTAGACAATCTGTATGATCTAGACAATCTGTAAACTCCCTGAGCCCTAGGCTCCTCTTATGCACAGTCAGAGGATGCTAATACCTACCTAATAAGATTAAACGAGAAATCTTGTGTGCAAGTCATGACAAGTGTAAAGGAATAAGCATTATTTATCAATTACTATCCTTCCTTTTCCACTCTAAAAATTAGTCTCTTCCAGTGCCTTTATCTACTTGTGATTTGGATTTTAAACTTACCTAACTACTTCCCCCAAACAGTGGGAATTTACCTTTTAACTCCAGAGGTTGCCAGTCCCAACTCACCTTCCTCTGGTGAACCGACACAGTCAGAGCCTTTTTCTGGAGAAAAGAAAATGAAGAAGGCATTAGACACTTATATATAGATGGGAAAATCATGCCTTTTGCATGCTGCAGCTAAGAATAAGAAGAGTTAGATAAAACTATCTACACATGTCACCAATTCCCAACAAGTCCAGAGTCTCTGGATGATGCAAGTCATTTTCAGCTGCTGACCTCTAGAATTTATCCACAGACTGATAAATTCTAGAAATTTAAAGTTTTCTGCTCTGTCTGCACTGAGCCCACAGCGGGTTGCTGGCTGACTACATTTAAATCCCTATAACAGGGCAGCAGGATAAGCATGAGTTTTAGAAGCTGGAAGAACTGCCAGAAATCCCAACTGTCCTCTGCAGCAGGGTCACTTTTAGCAGGGACTTCGCAGCACAGAGCTTACATTTCCCATGGCTGGAAGGTACAATAACTCCCATCCTTCAAGACTGAGGATTCAAGATGAGGGAAGTCAGAGCCTAGAAAGTAGGAGGTTCTCAGTAAGGCAGAGCTTTATGGCAGCTGTGGTATGAATCAGGCTGCGATTTTCCCATCTTCTCTCTCCAGGGCCCAGCTGGAAGAAAACATGAAGAGTTGCTCCCCTCCACTTACTGTAGTTTTCTGCCATGACAGGCACCAGACCACATTTGCCCGCTATGTAGACATATCCTCCATCCATGCTCATGGCATCAGCTTCTCCATTCTGCAAAGACACAGCAAGTAACAGCAGATTAAAAGAGGCCATTTCCTGTACCCTTGCCCTTCCAGCTGTTTCCTTGAAGCGGCTTTCCCAGCAAAGCTCATGTATGCCAGGGAGAGAGCAGGTGCTGGTACTGAACGCCAAAAGGATCGATCAGACAGACCCAGCCTAGGAAATAAAATTTACTTTCATTTTCACTCAACCATCGTGAACTGATGATCAGCTCCAAGCGCCTTGCTAAATTTATTCAAGAGCAAAGACCCACAGTTGTCCTCCTACTTTCGTATAAGATACACTGTCCCAGAGACACTCCTACGACACCTTTCTGACACCAACAATTCTCATTTGTGAGACAGATGAGTGGAGTCAGGGACTTACAGCTGTGTCTGTGGAATAGAGCACCTCGTGATGGGGGCTCTAGCCCCTAATTCTAGCCTCTTTGGCTGAGTGCTATTTCAGTGCTTGGTGTTTACAGAAGTTCAATGATTGAGTCAAATATTCTCAAATGATCTAACACTCAGAGCTAATAAACCCCAAATTTCAGAGATTCTTAGATTCAACAAAATTTGCGAGATTTCTCTTGGGCCTGGCGATATACTTTCTAGGAATACACTCTAAAGTTGTAATCAGATATGTGGACAACCATTTGGACAAAATGTATGTAGGCAAAAGCAACAAATGGAATTTATAATAGCAAAAAGAACAAAACCAAATGCTCAATAACAGAGAAATGGCTACATAGATTGCAGTACATCCACGCTATGGAATAGATATCAACATTAAAATATGGCTTTTTTCCTTTAAAACGTAAGCATGGGTATATTTATTTCTCTTAAATGCATGCAAGACAATAATTTTAAAATCTTCTCTTCAACAATGTTTTGATTCATAAGCATTTAATGTTTATATAATTTCACATCAATACTCCTGTATTTTTAAATACTGTAAGTTAAAAAGCCCCACACAAGTGATTCATATATTTTCTGTCTCCCTCTACACATCAAAACTTTAAAAAATTACAAACTGAACATATAAATCCTGTTTAAGAACTTGAGGTTTAAAATACTGTTTTCCCAGTGTGATTCAGAAAAATCTTTATACTGACAATACAGTCAAAAGTAGTAAAGTAAATTGTAGGAGGGGAAAAGGAAAGAGACAGATACAAGTTTGCTCTCAATATTTTACTAATTTTGTCAGTTAAAAATGATGGTGTCCTGAGAAATAACAGTTTAGGTTTAATACGAGGAATGAAGTTTGCCTCATAGTTGGAGACATACATTTCAAGTATTTTTCTATTTGGCCTAAGCTCACCGTAGCCAACTGATGCAAAAAGAGAAAAATTATTTTCTTCCATACATTTGCTCAGTGTCTGCCTGTTAATATGTTTTAAGCTCTTTGCGTTTCAGCTTGAAGGCATCTCAACTGATGCAAAAAGAGAAAAATTATTTTCTTCCATACGTTTGCTCAGTGTCTGCCTGTTAATATGTTTTAAGCTCTTTGCGTTTCAGCTTGAAGGCATCTGTCACCAGACTAGTTTCAGGGCCCATGAGTCAAGGCTTAAATTTTTAGTGGAATTTCAAACTTTTCCAGACTTGCTGAAATAGCAGTTCAGAGAGGAGTTTAAATACAGTAGTCTCCCTTATCTATGGGGGATATGTTCTAAGACCCCCAGTGGATCCCTGAAATTGAGGATAGTACTAAACTCTATATATACAGCCATTCATGGCTTAACAACAGGGATGTATTCTGAGAAATGTGTCATTAGGCGATTTCGTCATTGTCCTAACTTCATGGTGTACACAAACCTAGATGGTATAGCCTTCTACACCCCTAGGTTATCTGGTAGAACTGCTCTATGTGAGTTGTTTTCTGTTTCACGACTGTTAAACAATTCCTCCCAAGTTACTTCAAGTTCTTTCTTTTGAGGTAGTTGTCAGTTCCTTTTGATAGGGCACAACAAATCAATGACATAAGAATGTTTACTGTTTGCATAGGCACAAATGCCATCTATTAGAGGGAGAGTCTTCAAAGCTGCCTCTACTTTCTCGAGAGAAACATATTCTCCTGCCTGTAGTTTTACTAGGTCCTTTTTATGGTCAATAATCTTTAAACAGCCATCAAACTCTTCAGTGTCTCCAGTACAGAGCTACTTCTGCCCATTTTCATTTTCAAAGAAATTACCTTTTGTTTTTGCTCATTTTTGTAATATCTCATTGTCAAATTTTGGCCACCAGTAAGAACTTCACCTCTGGCTTATGGTTTACCAGTACTGAAGCATCTACCTTCCTCCCAGTTCTTTAATTTTATTACACAGCAAACTAATGGGGCTCCCATTCTGCCAGTATCGTAACCCCACACTTCTGTAATTATTCTAGCCCCGGCAGATCGAGTGGATCCATATCCCTGACCAGCAGGACAGCAAAAACAGAGATTCATCAGTCACTGTATGGTTGCAGAAAGTAGAGTACCTCCATACAATAAAATCCAAATATTTCCACCTAGCAAGCTTCAACATTTCCACCTAGCAAGCTTCAACATTTCCAGAAAACAAAGCTGTCACACAGTGGAGTACTATGGCCTCTCGAAGTCTGTTTTGTAATCATAGGCCAGAATAAACAGATTGCATTCAAAACTACTCTTTTCATACTCTTTATTCATGACATTCTTGTAGATCTGATTCATAATTTCCAGAATGGCTGCCATCAGTGTTGGTTTCAACCTGGATGTCTCTCTTTTGCTTCCTTTTTTTTTTATTTTTAAAGACAGATTCACTAAAGTCTGGGGTGAAGAGTATTCAATTAGGTCTATTCTTGTAGATCTGATTCATAATTTCCAGAATGGCTGCCATCAGTGTTGGTTTCAACCTGGATGTCTCTCTTTTGCTTCCTTTTTTTTTATTTTTAAAGACAGATTCACTAAAGTCTGGGGTGAAGAGTATTCAATTAGGTCTATCCATGAGAAAGTTAAACAAGCTCAGCACATAATTCTAGAATACGGACAAGTGGCAAATATCCATTGTAGACATCTCTCTCTTCCTGAACTCATTTCTGCCATCCCAGTGATAACAGTAATAATGTTACTATGCAAGATTCTGACTCCCTTTGGAAGTCCTGTATACCCAGTTGTGTACATGACTACTGCAGTATCTGAGGGCACTGGTTTGCTATGTGGTCTGCTTTTCATGCTCACTTTCACTTTGCACTGCAGCCATGGTGTGCACAATAACATGCTTGGAGAACTTGGACAGGTCAGTGGCTTCCCACAGACAGTGATGATATGCCACAGGTGCGGGAGCAAATAATATATCCTTCAACATTGTTTCCGAGAATTCTTTACTAGCAATGATGCTGGTCACTTCTGTTTCATTTAATCCATGAACAATTGCTGGAACGCCTACAGTAGCATATAATGTAACAAGATGAACAGTATACATAAAACATGCCTGTGCGGCAATCGTCCACTCAGCTCTGGTCTCACAGAACGTGGCAATGTTGGTCTTTGGTTTCTGCAACATCTGTATGGTATTTCCAAAATTAAAAGCTCCAATGATGACATCTTCATAGAAAAGTGGCCAAGAATAATTTTTTAAAAAATGTTTCCATTTGGTTGTACTTCATCTTCCTCATTTAAGATTTCACATGTTCCCAGGAGTCTTTTGTCCTTAAATATGTTTTTTGCATACATAAAAATTTATGCAGTGTATCACATCCAGGGTACAATACTGAAACCAAACCATCCAAACCGTTAACAGATCTGTATATAGACTCAGGTTTTAAATTTGCAGGCTTTGCTTTAATTCGGTTTAATTTTTCTTGTCTTGACTCAGACAAAAAATAAAATGGAACGTATGTTAAAATAATATAAAGTGATATTATAAAATGTGTGAAATATAAAAGAATAAAGTTGATGGTCTGTTTTTGCATCATAGTAGATGGTTTTGAAGACACGTGGTTATTCGTAAATGCTCAAAAAGTAGAATTAACAGATATCAGCAAGAATCAGTTGACAACAGCAGGAGGTACTGCTGCCTTCAAGATACACTCCTTTGTTTCAAAACATTTACTAGTTTATTATAAAGGGTCCAATTCAAGAACAGCCAAATGGAAGAGATGCAGAGGGAAGGGAGGGGCACGGAGCTTGGCGCTTCCATGCCCTCTCCAGGCATGCCACCCACCTAGCACTTTCATGTGTGCATCAACACAGACGTTCCAAATCACGTTTTTAAGGAATGATTTATGACATGGGAAAAGCTCACTAGCTATCATGAGGTGAGTAAAAGATAGTAAGCAACCTATACGATATGCTCCCAACTCAGGATCTTCTCTTAGTTACATGCTTATAAGTGTTTTTTATTTTCCTCTTTATATCATTAGGAATTTTCAAAATTTTCTGTAAGCAAACATAGAATACTTGCTTGATCAACAAAGGAAATTTGTACACGGTTGCAAAATAAACACAGGATCCTACCACACTAGTCAAGGCACACCACGGGTCTCAGAACTCTCAGACCATGACTCAGCCTCCCTAAGCAGGACACTGTTCAGATTGTGTCCCCACCATCTGCTGATGCAAGAAGGAAACTGAGCCCTAAAGGCATCCTTCAGATCCACAAGCTCAAGGGTTCTGAACCTCCTGTGGGGCCATGCTCGCACAGTCAGGGAAGGTTCCTGAGATCTGGGGTTTCCGCATCATGCTAGGAACATTCACTAGCTCAGCCTCATGGGCCAGCAGGCAGCAGTGGCAGGGACACTGCCGTAGGGAGGCAGGAGTGACATACCATGATCTTGGCAATGCAGTCTTCGGTGGTCTCTGCTGATTCACACTCTATTTGCCCATCACTGATGGCACTCCACTCATCACACTTTTGCCTCTCGTGGTGGCTCAGGGCACACCACTTCACTGGCTTGCATTCATCCTTTGTGGCTTCTGGGCCTACAGCATAAGAAAAAGAACCCGAGATCAGAAAAAGCCTCAGCTGTTGACTGGCGTTTGTTAACGCTACTGTCTTCATGCAAATGCTGGGATTTGCCAGCGTAAATAGATCCCATTCAAGGAATTAATCATCTTGGAAAGCAAAGTCAATACACAGTCTCTTGGTTGGCTTCTCCTTCATTTAGATTTAGCTTTTTACTTCTTCGGAGAAGCAAACTCCCCTCTCCAAACTGGGCACTCTATGACCTCTGGCTGGCTGTTTGTTTTTCCAAATAGCACTTCACCATCAGGTGTGTTCTTATTTATGTGCTCATTGTTTATCATCCGTTTCTCTGCAGGAGAACATAAGCTCCAACAGGGAAAGGACCGAGCCTGTCTTGTTCACCAGGGCACCCTCAGTGTTTAGAGCGGTGCTAGCACATGGTCTGAGTAATAAACGTCTGCTGAATAACCAGACATCTGCTCCTCATTCAGACTCAGTTCAAGAGTCACATCCTCAGAGAAGCTTTACCTCAACCCACAGTCCAGGGTTTTTCTTTGTTTTGCACTCTTATAGGACCATGGTATTTTGTTGTGGTTTTATTTCCTTCTGAGCAGATCTCTCATTTTGTAATTGATCATTGGATAGTATGACTATTCATTAAACATTTGTTTTCTCCCCTGTCTGAATTCCAGGACAGCAGAAGCTAATATATGTTGGTCATACCATTGTATACCCAGCACCTAGCAGAGTTTATGGCTAGATGTTTAATAATGTCCACTGAATGAATGAATGATCAAACAAAAGCTCAGTGACCAATGAAATTCAGGACTGAGACCGATCTCTCCAGAATGCCAACTTCATTATGGCACATGTTGACCATAGTGGAAACGTGCAATTTGTAGCAATTTCATTCTATTTCACTTATTTGTGCTAGGCTAATTGGCTTCACAAAGTGGGTAGGGCAGTCCTGATCTATGCAAGGGAAATAATGCTGGTACCAATCCAAGTGATTTTATTTGTATGTTTTTCAGGGTTTCTATGTTGCAGTCTTTTTTTTCTTTTTCCTTCATTAATTTTATTTTATTTATTTATTTATCAAAACATAGTTGATTGTACATATCTGTACAGAGTCGAATATCAATACCTGTGTGCACTATGTGATGCTCAAATCAGGATAATTAGTATATTCAACATTATACAATGTAATCGCTTGTCATGGCCCTTTATCAATTTCTCCCTCATGTCCCCTCCTCTTCCCCTTTTCTCACAAGTCATTTTAAATGTGAATTTCCATTAAAGCCCTTGGTAATGTCCAGGCCATCTCATAATGACTAATGCCATTTAGCATCAGTCTAATACCGGGCTCACGAGCAGGGCAGGAAAGAACATCAGCAGAAGCGTTCAGGTCCCTGGAAAGACTCTATCACTGGTCTCCGCCCTTGCCAGGTTTCCCAAGCTCCTGTGGTCACCTGGTATTTCCTGAGAACTTACATTTGCCTTCCCGTAGATTCCGAACGGCAGTGACATACTCATATCCCAGGTACAGGCTGGCGTCCATCCTAGGGGGCACCTTTAAAAATCCGTGGGCCGAGTCCTTAAACAGCAGGTCCTTCCCATGAGGAGAGCTGAACAGTTGGAAGTCTGCTGACGTGTCTCTGCCGAAATGTTCCTGTTCATAAAACAGAATAGTGAGCAGCAACAGAGAACAAGGGAGGCTAAGAAATGGGACTGAAGAGAAAACAAAAACCCCAAAAGGCAAAATGAAAAACCATGAGAAATTTCAAGAGGCCAGGAGAGAAGGCAGCTGGGCAGACGCCACACACAGGGCACTCTGTCTGCTCATCAGCCTCTAGGACCATGCCGTGCCCTGCCTCCCTGAGTGTGTTTCTGTGCCCGTCTCCTTGCATGGACTGAGAGATTACTGGGAATAAGAAGTATGTCTAATCCAGAGGCCAGCACGGTGTATTGCCACTTTAACTTGAGGGACAGGCAGGAGGGCTGGATGCAAAGAAGCTGGCTCAGGGAAGTAAGTCAGCTGTGCAGGAAGCCCCCTCCTTGTCAGACTGAGGGATGTGGGGAGACAGATCATTTCTTTCTGGGGGGTCATGGAAGGTTTCACTGGGGAGGGGTGTTTGCCCTGGGCCTTGAAGGCATGGTTTAGATAGAAAGGAATGGAATAGAGCAATAAGCAGCCTCTGCAGACAGCACAGGCTGGAAAGGTAAAGGGTGCAGATGGTAATACCAGAGGGGCTCCCTGCTGCTTTGTGAGGAGTCCCAGCTGGGGGCTTTTAGAGAGGTTGATGATGTGTGCCATGGTTCCCACTGTGTCCTGAACACACAAGAGCCTCTAGAGAGTGGCAAGAGAGCAAGGAGGAAAACCCCCAAATCCAAGCAGGGAGCACTAAGCAGCAGGGGAGGACGGTGGATGGGGATACCTGAGCCTTATCAAGAAGCTCCCAGATTAAGTCCTCCTTGCCACCCACACTTCGGGCCACGACGGCATGAGAAGGGACCCGGGCCAAGTGGCACGTCTCATATTCGTCCACTGGCCTCCGGGTGTTGTCCCGGCAGAGCAGCTCATATTGGTCCCTGTCAGCCTTCTGTTCCAGGTTCTCTGAGGAGGAAAAGCCCAGATGAGCCAACCGCGGGCAGAGCCATGAGCTATGGTACCTCCTCCCCACCCTTGCAATACCATTCATCATAGAAAGTGTGAGCTGAGATGCCTGGAGCAATCACTGAGGGCCAGGGAACAGGCAGGAAAATGGCTTGCTTGAGATCCTGCAGCCAGATAGAGGCATGGAGGATTCTGATGCCCAGTGCAGCAGTGACTGCCTCACATCCCATCATGAGTCTGCTCTCAGCAGGATGACTGGCAGGCCAAGGTCAGCCAGGCCAGTCCCCAATCCTTTGCTGTGGCAACACTGCCC